CCCCATAAAAACACGAAATCCCGCTCCCGCTCGTAATTGTAATTCCCGCTTCCCGCCCCTGTTTTCTGCTCAAATCCCAAATATCACCGCGAAAAAAAAGCCAAATCCCGTATCCCGCCAAACCTATTGGGGACCCTCTTTCGTCACATTTGAGTCTCTCTGTTAGTAATGCTCTGAGTACCCCTTTGGGTATTACACAATTTTCTAAGCAATACTAGAAGTTAAGTTCAAAAAGTTTTGCCTGTCTATGAAAACCAATAATTTTTATTGCCTTCCTACATTGTGGAAGGTGCGGTGGCCTCATTTTTTGTTGCGCTCGTCTCCGGATCGAGCGGTCCGTGTTCGAGCCCTGGCCGGGGGCATTGAGTTGTGTTCTTGAACAAAACACTTTACTCTCTCCACCCAGGTGTATAAATGGGTAACGGCGAATTTAATGCTAGGGGTGGCAGGGGTAACCTTGCAAAAGACTAGCATCCCATCCAGTAAGGGGGAGTAGAAATACTCCTAGTCGCTTCATGATGGGAGCGTTGGGATTTTCAGTTTTGCGGATTTGGCCAATTTTTGGTTCGCTTTTTCGGTTTTGATGTCTTGTGCGGTTTGCGGGTTTCTCCAGTTTAGTCTTTGGTTTTCGGTTTTTGTCAACAATGATGGCGATTTTCGGTTTTCGGTTTTGCCCAATGCATTTTACGGTTTTTCTGGTTTTACCAAGGAAGTTACACCCCGCAGTCGCGCTAAAACTGTAATTCCAAGGGACCACTTACAGTTAGAGGAATGCATGCCAAGCCTAGTCTCTTTAGCCGTTATTTTGCTTGTAACAGCTGTCAAGCAGACAATGAAAAGCTAAAGATAATATCAAAGCAAAAGACTATTTCTCAAAGTATCACGCGGCTGGCATAATATCTTGTGGACTTTGACCTTAGACTGTGGACCATCGAGTTCCTAAGCTCATTAGCAGACTTGCACGTTGTCGTCATTTGACTACAACTACCAAAATTCCTTTCGTTCTTTCTTTATTATTTAAATTTTGAATTTCCAGTGGGGTTTTAATAACAATTGCCCTGATTAGCATAAGAAACAGAAAAAGTGACGGATTCTGGTAGTTGTAGTCAAATGACGCCATCATGCAAATCGCCTCCCCAATAGGTTTGGCGGTTTGGCGGGATGCGGGATTTGGCTTCTTTCGCCGTGATATTTGGGATTTGAGCTGAAAGCAGAGACGGGAAGCTGGAATTACAAGTACGCGCGGGAGCGGGATTTCGTGTTTTTATGGGGTTGGGATGAGATTTGCAAGGGAACAGAGCAGGATACGGGATTTCAATTCTTACGTGACCTCATAAATTGACCAGCACAAAAACCGCAAGCCGGCAGAAACCAGGGCAGAAACGAACCTCTTGTGGGTATAGCTGTGTTAGGTTCAAGTAATGAATAGCAACGGCTCTGTACCCTGTCAGGTTCTGTCAAACGTATCCATTATCGCTTGACCACGTTAGTATCATAAAACTGTATGAAAACCTTGAGTCCTATAATTTGTGATCATTTGGGTTGGCCTCTGTAATCCTGAGCCCCCGATCCTTTCTAGTTTTTTAGCTAGTTTCGACTTTTCCAGAGCACTTGGCTTGTTTTGGCCAGGATGATCACACCGAATGGCGGTGATAGTGATTTACGAAGTATGCTGCCATATTATACATTGCATAGCCATATATTACGAAAAGGTTGTGCGAGCAGGAATGCCGTCATTCGGAAAAACAGTTCTGAGCCCAGATTTCAAGGTGAAGACGCTGAAATCTTTGACAGAAACAGTCAGGTGTGTTTACGGGCCATCTCTTGAAGATGGGAATGAATAATCTTTTTCTTCCACTGATACGTGGACAAAAGAAAACAAAAGAGTAAACCGTTTACAGAAAGAAACATTACAATCATTTGTGCTTACTTATCTGCAATTCATTGAATCCTTTGTGCGATATCTATGTTTAAAAAGTTTCTGTGTTCCCCAATTATTAATTTAACAAATTAATAATTAACGCAGAAACGTCAATTATTAATTTAACAAATTAATAATTAACGCAGAAACGTCTTTGAAAAGTGGGCGGGATCGGGATTTCCAGGCAAAAACGGGCGGGATGGCGGAATTAACAGAAAAAAATGGACGCGAAAGCGGGATCTGAGAACCCTATTGTGGACGCTCATTAAAGTCTCCCCTTTTCGTCGCGAGAATAACACTGCGCTCACTCGCTCCGTTCACGTGGAATAAAAACAAAGAAGAGACTGTTTGGTTGTAAAATAAAGTAGTTTGGTTGTAAAATGGGGCTGCCATTGTGCCTACACAAATGATAATTCTGACAATGGCAATCAAAAAGTAACTTCAGAGTGTGGTGTTTCTTTTAAACAAAAATCACTTAAAATCATTTTATCGAGCAATTTGTTGCTATAGGTATGTGGAGCCGATTTACACAAAAAAGGAGATTTTTAGACTACGATATGTTCTGCATGTTATAGTGTTAATGAATTCGGCTTACACAATAGGGTACTTTATTAGGTGTAATGGTTACGTAAGATATATTACGTAACACATGTCCCAGAGCGGAATCTTAAATAGCCAAGTTGCATGCATGTTTGGATTATTTGAAATGTATAACTTAAGTTTAGCTTAGTAAACATTAAAGTTCGGTCGGCCGTTTTATTCACGAAGTAGCGTCATTATTCAGCGCTTGGACACAACACTGCACTAACGAGGAAATACGCAGAAAGAACTTCGGAAAGTAAAACAAGTTTAGACGTATAATAATTAAATAACAGAAAGAGAGATTCTGAAGACTCAGTACCAAAGCTCTGTTAACGAGGGCTCTTATTTCGGTTTTCGAGTTTGGACGAAATTTCTCGCGGTTTTGCGATTTTCGGCGATTTTTTGCGCGGTTTTTTGGTTTCTAATAGCCCCCTACGCCCACCTCCTTCATGCTGCAGAGACCGGGATAAGCTCCGGCCTGATGGGCCACTTGGCTCGTATATATGCAGACTTTACTTTTTACTAGAACGCTTTATTATGGCTATTTAGCTATCACTGTTTCTGACTGTTGTCTGTGTGTCTATTTCTTGATTAACTTCAGCCAGTGAACAGATGCTTTATGACATTTATGAAAACACCATTGGTATGATTGAAGAACTGGAAAAGCATGAAGATCATGGCAAGTCGGCTGGTTATTCGGGATTGTTAGATCACAGAGCTCCGCCACCCAGGAGGAGAGAAAAGCATGACGTACGTTTACCAGCTCTTTTGAACATGCGTAGCACCGATACAAAAGTTCTACCACTACTTCCCATGGGTGGCACTCACATGCCATGTGAAAAGGTCGGGGATGCTCGTAAGAGAATTTGAATTAAACCCCTAAAGGAGACCAATGTAGGCTTGGCTCGTGCCCGCCTTTTTCTTTTTCTTTTTTTGTTTTTTTAAATATACCACTTAACACGAAAATGGCAGTGTTTTAACTATACTATGACGGCTAAAACTAGTGGTATTTCGTCCTGGACACCCTTTTCAAGTGAGGCCAAAAATCTGTGATTTACATCC